GCCAGGCCGGCCGCACGGAATAGATGGGCCTTCAGGGCTCGGCGAAAAAGGCGCAGGTCCGCAACTGTACGTAGGTCGGGGGGTAGGTCATTCCAGAGGGCAGGAGCTGCCACAGAGAAGGCTCTCCCCCTGGGGGTCGCCAGCCGGCATTGTCTGGCCGACGGCACTCTAAGAAGGCCCTCTCTGTGGGAGCGGACTGTTGGGAATGGGGAGACACCCTGTGCAAACTCTTTTGGAATTTCATAAGTTCCTCATGCAGACACAGAGGCTTATTTCTGTAAACACAGATTTAAATACTTAATGAACTATAGTTAGCTTAAGAAAAGCAAATGGTCTTACCCACCAGCTAGGAAAAATCTCTAGTGGGTTGCACACCATACAGGTTGGCTGGAGATCCCTGAAGGCTCCTGCTTTGTCTCCTGGCCAGGTTATTCTGGCCCTCCGGATGGAAATAATGGAGGCTCAGAGAAGAGAGGAAGCAGAATTTCAGAAGGAGCTCAAGAATGTGGAGCAAAAGGTTCAGCAGAAGAGACATCAAGCAGCAGAGTATGAGCGAGAGGTAACAAGGAAACGCCATACTTCTTACAACGTGGTCTCTAATGTGCAGGATCAACTCTGCACATTAGTGCAGGATCTGTTGCTTAGTTAGACTATTATGCTCCCCTCTCAGTGCATTTGTTTATTTATTTATAAAATTTATTGGACACCATCTTACCACAGGATAACTCTGGGCGGCTCACTGTCCTAAAAATGGATTTATACATGTACATTTAAAGACAAATAAACTAAAATCAAACATTAAAATCTAAGGACACATGGGTAGGGCGGGAGCAGAGTGGAGGGAGATGGGACAGTTGTTACTTGATCAACCACTTCCACTGTGCTGTTGCCCGTTGGGGCCCCAGGCTAACTGGCAGAGCCCTTACAAAAGGTTAGGAAGGTTGGGGCCAACTTCACCTGGGGGGAGGGCCAAGATGTTCCAGAGGGCAGGAGCCACAGCAGAGAAGGCCGTCCTCCTGCACCCCACCAGCCAGAATAATTGGGCCCTCCTCTGCCGGCACGCGTGGGACAGGCCAATCCTGATGGACTGACAGGGTCCCTCAAGTAGCCTGGACCCATGCCATGAAGGGCTTTAAAGGTGATCAGCAACACCTTGAATTGCATCAGGAAGCAGACTGGCAGCCAATGCAGCTCGCATTGGTGTTACAGAGGCCATTCTTGGGCATCCCCAAACTGCCTGCGCCACCGCACTCTGCACCATCTGTAGCTTCCAAATGCCTTGTGAAGAAGTTAGGCCCTTGGTTAGATCCTTAAAGGCAGGCGAGCAAGTGCACTGGCATAAGAGGGCTTCCAGAGTAGGCAACCTTGTTAAGGGCCCATCACTTCTGTTGCATTAAAAGGGAAAGACAAGTCCAGTTAAAGCCCATGGGGATCCTTTCATCGGAAATACCTCAGGGCTACAAGGGGTGTCTCCAGCTAGCCACTGATGCTCTCCTAGACTCTGAGGCTGTTGACAAAGCAAGAAAAGACGGTGTAGAGAGTAGGAGATAGGAATACGTAAGAACTATTACCTAAGTAAGGGGAACTGCAACATTATTTAAGTCTGGGAAATAAGAAAATATTAGGAATTGGCTCAGGCAACCCCTTCCCCAATTCCTTGGAGTAGAGGAAGGGACATATATCACAGTGAGATTTGCAAGGTTATGATTGCCAATCTCAATCAACTGCCATCCTGGTCTTCTTGTAGAGCTGATTTTCTGTTCTAGCCTACCTGGTAGCCAGCTCCCTGAAGCCCCAGAATGCCCCAGGTTCTTTCTTGAAGAGCTGGGTGGAGGCAGGTGGTCCATTATAGATACAAGGGCAGCTATTTAGAACTCAGTTGCCAGACTCTCACAACACATTAGACTACCTGTGCCAGCACAAGGGTCACAGTAGCTCATGTGTAGTGTACTGTGCTATTCTTTACTGCAGCTTTGCAGCATTTTTTGTTGTCATTGTGTGATGATGGTGGGAATAACAGTAGTTTAATCTGGATGCCTTTATCTCAACCGTAGCTCAGTGATCTTCTGAAAGAGAAGCGTCAAGAGGTTGAGCAAGAACATGCTAGAGAGTTGGAAAAAATGCAGAAGATACACCAGGAGACTCTAGTTAGAATTCAGATGCAACATGAGGACAAGGTAAGGTTACTAATAAGTTGGATGCCCAGCAAAAGCTCCAATAGGCTTATAGCTGTTTTACTCACAGCATCTGAGGGAGAGATGGAGCTAGCTTGTAAACATCTTTTATATATTTATCTGACTGTCTGTCAGACTTTTATGCCACTGTATTCTTTTTTTTCAATATAAAATTTTATTATTTTTTCATCATAAAAAAACCACAAATGCTACACCGTGCTATATAAAAAAAAAACCCACCCCCCCGGACTTCCCAAACCTAATCCCAGGATAATATTCAAATATAAGTAAACAAATATTAGTATCTCTAACTCCACAAAGTATATTATTCTACATGAGTAGGTAAAATATATAAAAGAAAAGAAAAATTTTTCTAAAAACCTAAATTATATTCCACCACTCTATGCTTCTTTTGAATATAAACAATCCATCTTCTCCATATTAATAAAAATTGTTCATTTGAGTAATTCTTCAAATAAGCCGAAATCTTTGCCATCTCAGCAAGGTACGAAACTTTCAATCTCCAGTCTTCCATTGTAGGTAAAATTTTACTCTTCCA